CGGGAACTGGCCTTCCAAAAACACGAAATTTGGAAAAAAATGTTTTTGAAAATATCGCGGATTTATTTGCGTTTTCTGTGTATCATTTCCGCTTCAATAAATGACCTCATACGGATTTTGATCTTTTTCGAAAAGATAACTTTAAAAACTTTAGCCGAAAGAGAGATGTACGCAATTTATCTCAAAAATAGATTGTGCTGGCACATCCATGGTTCTTAATGGACCACATTGAAATGGTATAGATCGATGTATTTTTTTAGGGTGCACACCGAAATCGGATGCGCGTTAATGGCATATGGAGTTTTCGGAAATTATTCGCGTTTTACGATTTTTTGGGTACTTCAATGTAACGTGCGGCACATCTTAGCCGTCAAATGAAATTTCGCAAAATATATATGGATTGGAAGATAAACTTCAGTACTTCCTGGAAACCGCATGCGCATCAAATGATTTTGAGAATTACGCGATTTAGACTCAATTTATCTCAAAAATAGTGTGAGCTGCCAAATCCATGGTTCTTAATGGACCACATTGAAATCGGTATAGATCGATGTATTTTTTTAGGGTGCACACCGAAATCGGATGCCCGTTAATGGCATATGGAGTTTTCGGAAATTATTCGCGTTTTACGATTTTTTAGGTACTTCAATGCAACGTGTGGCACATCTTAGCCGTCAAATGAAATTTCGCAAAATATACATGAAATGGAAGATAAACTTCAGTACATCCTGGAAACCGCATGCGCATCAAATGATTTTGAGAATTACGCGATTTACACGCAATTTAAAATGTATATTTCATAATATTATTTTATTTTAAGATTTATTCCTATTTATAGAATACTAAGATTTATCGGAAGGGTCTTGATATAATCCGCAAGGCGTATACTTATACACAAAAAGTTATTATTATAATATATGTGTAAATTTTTCGGCGAAATTCGGGTAAAATAGCAGAATAACCCCAACATTTTTTTCTGAAATTTCATGTATACAATTAAAAAAATAAATATGATGACATTATTTTTTCGAACCAAAAACAAATATTTTTCCTCAATATCTTGTTTTGTTGCCGCTGTGATTTAGAAACCGCTACACGGACTTGTGTGATTTTGATATCATTTGATTCATCATGGTGTTTAGATTATGTAGATATTTTTAAATTGATTTGTAGATGTGTGTATGTCATTAATATAATGAAAATATTGATGTAATCTGCTATATTTTTATTATTTTTCTCATATTTCGCGAAGATGTGCAACTATATCGTGATTATTATAATATATTCATATTCTTATTTTACGGAGGAAGATATATATCAGCGTTTTTGGTCAATATAATAAACGGCGTAATTTTAAGATTTTTTTCTTATGCCCAAAATTAAAACCTCAATAACTTTTGCGCGCATCAACCAAAAATTTGATCGCGAACGGTTTCGGAGTCAGAACATTTTTCTCTATATGTGTACCAAAAATCATTGATGTGCCACAAAAACAAAAAAGCTGATTTTTTGAAAATGGAATATTAAAAAATTGGCAATATTGCCCATATATATATATTAGATATTTATTGTTCCAGTGAATAAACAACGCCGTTTTATCAATATCCCGATTATTTCAATTTTAACAAGGCATATTCAGTAAATTGAATACGGGAGGACATCTAACCCTTTGGCGTCCAATGTTGCCCACAGGCAATAACATGTTTAAGAGCTTATATTTAATAAACAACTAGTAAATATTTATTTTTTTAAATACCTATAGACAACATATATAAAAAATATAGTAAAGATGGAACACATGTGCACAGTAGTAATTTGTGTGTAGAGTCCAAATGGTTTAAATCGCTTCGCATTAGAATAGTCCGAATTGCACCATCAGCATTATTTATGATTCTTGTAAAAAATACAATAGAGAATAATTTAAAACGATTTTTTCGTCGATCTTGCATTTGGTTATCTTGAAATTGGACTTTTAATTTCCAGAAAGAATTTACTGTATCTCCCGACATTTTGTCAAATTTTGTTCATATCCTCTTTAGGACAGTTGCATTAAACCTCTGTTTACCAATTTTTAACGAAAAAAAATTAAAATTAATTATATTAAAAATATAAAGTTTATGAATTACTCAACTAAATTTTAACTAAACTTTATTTTTTTACAAGAATCAAAAATAATTCTAATGATAGAATTCGTACAATTCGAATACGAAGCGATTTAAATATTTTGGACTGTGTACACAAATTAGTACTGTACACATTTTTGGCCTCTTCTCTATACTGAAAAGCTCATAACTTAACCAATAATAAGAATTTTTAAGATTTTTCTTTTGATATATGTTGTCTATAATCAGGTCTTGACATATGAAATCCAAATAATAGGTATCTACTTTCTACATATTAAATAGAGGCTCTAAAATATTTTGTTGCCTGTGGGCAACATTGGGCCACAAAGGGTTAAATATTTATTTACAAATGTAAAAATGTACTGTACCTTACATAACACATCTTCGATGAAGGACGTATGGCGTATTTGTCAAAGTGTTTTGGGAACACATCAAACTCGACTGCATTGCCAACACTCAATTTTCGTTTTATTCCGATTTACTTGACCAATTTATTGTCGGTAATTTTCAGTTTTTTTTTCATCGCATAATTATGGATGGTAGTCTCATTTGAGAAATTGGTAATGGCAACCCTTTTTAATTTGGAACTCATCTATCATTTTTAAATAATATGAAAAATAAATATCATAAAATTATTGGTCTGTTCCAGTACTTTTTTTAATAGTAAATCTAGTAAAAGGAAAACATTTCAAAATTGCTCTCAGAGTACAAAATAATTTGAAAAGTTCGGGAACACAAATCTAGTAAATATGTCAAAATTAGATGACAATACTTCAAAATCAACATAACAGCCAATCAGAAGTAGGCATTCCTGTTTACCATTTTTACTCGACCAAAGTTCTCGAGTTTACAAAGAGAACGCCATTTTGTTTTGTGCTCTCTTAAATTTGAGTCAATGTTTTACCAGTTTTGTTGGTTGAGGAACGGTTTTCGAGTAAAAAGTTGCAAAACATGTAAAATGAGTAGAATCTTTTAGGTTCTGGAACGGAACTTGTATGTATGTCGATTGGCATATTTTCAATAAATTTAACAAAATATATTTTCTAATGCTGAATATTGTTCTAAAGATTTAACCATGATTGTTACAACTTATATTATAAGTTTTAGAGGCCGGGAATTCAAAATATTTATAAATATAAATGAGCAATTCTTTCCACTGAACACATGATATGCGTACATTTCGAAGGAAGACATTTTCATTTAAATTTTGAAAGCTAATAGCCTGTTTTTGTAAAATTCCAAACGAACGAATTCGAGTGACTTACGACCAAACCTTTATTTATGTTTATAAAGGTTTTCTGATTCAAAACAAAAATACATGACATATTTTTCAAAACCAAGGAGTTTGGTCGTAAGTCACTCGAATTCGTTCGTTTGGAATTTTACAAAAACAGGCTGTAAGTGTTGTCAAAAACAAATTTACGAAAAAAAAAATGGAAACATATGACTGCATAAGACTACCTAGTTTAATTATATCCTGAGTTTTTTATTAGAGCATTTATTAAATTATTAAGTTAATATTTTTTTCTTTTTGTTACATATATTTCGTATTTTTTGTGTATAAAGACAAATCCTAAGACCCCAAAATTTCGATGACCTAAACTTTACACATCATAATATTTCATCCAAACTAGGTTAAGTTCGAAGATGGGACATATCGGCCCACTCCTTCTGGTCAAAATTGTGCTAAAATTTAATTTTATTATATCATGCGAACTGACTACCCGATTTGAACCAAATTTTGTGCAACATATTATCTTTACCACGTCTACATCAAATTCGAAGATGGTATCCATTGGTCCACTCCTTCTGGTACCTACCTCACAAATGGTGACATTTTTCAATGTTTATAAATCCGATATCAGGCGATTTGGACCAAACTTTGCACAACCTTTTATCTTTGCCGAGCCTAAATAACAACGTTACCTATAATCCGACGGAGCGGACAGAAAAATTCAACTTCCCCATTTTTGCAAAATGTTGTGTACGGCCGTAAATACGTCGAATCCATATCTTCAGGCGAATAATACAAACTGCCAAACAAAATTGAATATTTATTAAATTAATCCAAATATTTTATGTTCACATTCGAAATTTCATTTTTTCTGAATGTTTTGTTTTTATTTTCAACAAAAGAAAAAATCGAAAAATACGTTCTGTCAAAGTTGAAATTGTTCAACTTGGAATTTTGTACCCTCGACGTATTTCGGTAACATTCATATAAATATATGTGTTCTACTTCTGTGGTGAAAAACGTCGAACGAGCTAGTTGAATTTTAGGTAGGGCTGTAAAGTACAAAAATGGGACCAATTGAGCCACTCCTTCTGTTGCCTCCTCCATAAATAATTAAAAATTTCAATATTTATAAATTCAATATGAGGCGAATGCTTCGACCGATTTGGACCAAACTTTGCAAAGCATATTATCTTTACCAGCCTAGATCAAGTTCGAACGTGGGATCCGTCGGTCCCCTCATTCTGCCACCTCCCCCACAAAGCTTCAGTATTTTATAAACTTGAAAATTTAATTTGAAGCCAATTGAATAACCAATTTGATCAACATTACCATAGGCTGAGGGTACATACCTGTCGGCAAACCGACTGACTACGAAATCCACGCATACTCAAATTTAAATTCCCTAACGGATTTGAGTTGTCGTATACGTCATGGAATTTCCATTTGAGAATGAGTGGATTTCGTAGACTATTTTTAGCGTTGCCCCATCAGAATGAATATCATCCCATGAATATCATCCTGATGCTAATAAACGAAATCTATACATGAAAATAGAACTTTAGAATAATAAGACATACATATATGTATTGCATTTTAGAGTACTTTATTCATTATGTATATGATCCGAATAGAAAAAAAGAACAACAAACAAATTAAGTCCTATCAACAACCTGGTCATTGAAAATAATTTTCACATCAGTTTTCATCAAATTGGTGAACGATGATGTCAACGCTGTCAAAGTGTTGCCAGGCAAACGTCTATCGAATGGGAAGCCCATGGTACGTCTATCGGGATACAATTTATCCTTCAAACCACAGAACGAGTAGGCATCTCCACAGACATCGGGACTACAGAGAAAACAGACACACACAAATCAATCATAATCACATTCCAACAATAACTATTGGGAAGTGAATCTTCCCCTGTTCTTACCCGTTATTGGTTTGTTTCACAGCATCGTTGGCATAATCCGATATCATCACAAACAAATCGAATGTCATACCCTCAGGCCTGCCCTTGGGCAATAGAAGATGATCGGGCCATCCACAGCCACAGAATTGGAACGCAGCCAAAGCATTGGCTTCGGTTGGTTGAGCGCTGGGTCCAACACGACGCAGGGACCTCTCGAATGGAATTGTAACAGATGATTCATCAGAACGACGGCGGATTGTATTTTTTCCCGGGGTCACTGTGAATGGGAAAATGTGAATTCGTCGTCATTACACACTGTAATAATTGTTTCAAACTCCCACTCATCTCCAAAAATAAAAACTTACAATTTACAGTGAATTTATCCATTTCAATGGCCAAAGCACGTTGATCCTCCAGAGTAAGTTGTGTTCCACGTTCATCGGTTTTAGGGCAGAGGAAAATGCGACATGTACCCTTCTTGGGTGTGCCGTTGGAATTCGTCACATTGACAATGTATTCGAAGGGGGCGTGTTGCAAATGGGTGAATGTGGCGAACACACTACCATTGGGTCCAAAATCTAAACCAGCAGCCAAATCTACATTGGATTTTTGCCAATAAGTCAAGAGCACATTTGGTGCGGCCGTACGAGAATTGATTCTAGCCTCAACGTTGTTAATAGTAATGCCACTATAACTCAAATGACTTTGGTCGTAGGGTGGCAAAAGAGACTTATGCCTATTGAACATGACATCCAAGAAGCCATGCCATTTGTAGAACACTGGATCACGCATTGCCGTTGTAACATCGCCCATTACACCATAGTCTTCCAAGTGACGACCATCGGGATCATGAGCAAAGGCAATCATATCATGGACCGTGTTATGAAGACTGCCATAGTACTGGCTATTAATCGAGAGGCTAGAAGCCTCAACAATATCACCGAGAAGATCAATGCCCTTCACCTCATCCAAAGGATAACGTTTTCCAGCAGTCTACAAGGCAAAGGAAAATTATTAATTGGAAAATCTGTATCGAGCTATACAACAAAAAACAACTTACGTCTTGAACATATCCTTGGTCAATGGCGGCCATAATGCGATCACGCCATCTTTCAAGGTCAGCAACATCGACAACATTATTTGGCCGTTTCATGTCGCGTAGAACTGCGTTTGCTACACGACCGGGATATGTGCGATTGTTAACGCTGCTCAACAGTTTTGGGAAATAACCATCAGCAATGGGTGCCCGGAAGTTGTTGATAACTTCGACACGTTTTAGATGGTTGCAGAAACGTTCGACATTGTAGCGAGCAATAATCTGATGATGCATATAATAGAACAGTTCACCGCGGCGATCCTTTGCAACAATTTCGCGTGGTCCGCTTCCGGGGTATACCAAATGCCAGTGCCAATGATGCATGTTCACGCCGATATCCTCACGGAAATAGGCTAAACGTTGCTCATCTTCTGCATCGGTGGCGGTATAGTTCCTTGGAATTTCAATGAGAGACTATGGAGAGGAAAGGCGAGACTTAAAAATAGCCTAATTTGGAAAAGAAGGACGACCGTTACTTACACGTTTGCTGGGATCCGGTACAAGTGATGCTTCTTGACGTGCTTCCTGCAACAGTGAGGGTTCCACAAAGTTCGACGGGAATGTCTCTGCAATTGGTGGAACACGAATATTGCGAGTATCACGACGATGTTGAATTGCAACGGAATAACAATACTGGAATAGCATTGGATTGACACGATCCCTGTGGAAGAAAAAAAACGCAATTGGAATACATGAAATTGTAATGCGTTTGGTTTGCATTCTCCACTTACTTGGTATAGGCACAGAGAGCAACAAAGCTTTGTAGATCAGGACTATCCATAAACATGGTAATCAGTTGACTGGCTACCCTCTTATGTTGGTCTTGGAAAAGGGAGAATTGTTGTTTCCTTCCAATAACTTTGGTAAAATCCAAGTTGGGTTTCCTAGCCAAGTCGCGCAATGGAATCTACACACATTATTAAATTGAATGCTTGAGACGGCTAAATTTTAACTTCCACCACTTCGACTAGCTTACCTTAATTTCGACATTATCACCGTAACGGGTTTGGAGCTCTACATTGGAACTACTGTAACGATCGGTATAGTAACTGTCGGGCAAATCAAATGCGGTCTTGCCATTGTCACGTGACGTAAAAACTGGTTCCAAAGGACGTTGGAACAACAGTTCAAGGGCTTTAGTATCGCTCGAAGACATTTTAAATTCTCAATGGGGAATATTGTTGAAACAACGAAAACAGTCTTTCAACTGATGACCATTCCCAGTTCTCTACGGTTTTTATAGTGTCAAACTCAATGAAACTAACAGTGATAAGTGCTGGAAATCGCACTTTAGTGGTTTTCCATGTCACGCCCATGTCAAAAGAAATGTTTTGGGACACCGTGGTCTGGCCTGTAACCGCAGAAATTGATAATACATAGTGCGTTAGCTATTAATTGATAGCTAAAAAGATCACCATACTCGCACATGTCTATGCATGTACATACGAGTATGTTTAGTATTGATGATAGTGATAAATCGTCTAGAAAGGTTCACTTATCTAATTATGTTTAGTTTTCATGTGTAGATTCCTTAAAACCTACTTTTATTATTATTCGATCAACAAAATCCCGATTAATAATATTTTGTCTATTTATGCATCTGTCATTGTCTACCTATTCTATCATAAGGCCATTAAAATTAACTGAAAATAGCCGATTTGTAGATGAGGATGCCAATAATTGGGATTTCTCTAGAAATAATACAAGCGTATTTGTAATTGGGTACTAAGGGGAAATTGAGGATTTTCTCAGTAACATAAAAATCCAATATTGATTTTAAAACATGGTACAATTATAAAAGGTAACAGCAAGTCCCACCTGATTTGATTCCAACGTAATACTAGTGTCAATATGAATTTGACAAATTATGTTTTTAAAAATCACCCAACAGGAAAATTGGGAACGCATACAATTTGTAATTGTTCTTTATTAAATGTGCTCCGGTATTCAACTTATTCAATCTACCTGCTGGGAAAGTTTGAGGAAGCAAATCTTTCTTCAAGGAACAACTCGCTATTCCCTGCATTTTCATATGTGTTACACTTATATACACATAGAAGCGATAGAAATATAAATTTGTTTTTCAATTTTTATTTTGAGGATTCGAAAATTTTTCATTTTCAAAATAAAAATAATTTGATGATAATTTGTTTGTTTGTTTACATTTTTCTGTCAAATGAGTTGACACTAGTAGAACTTACAACAACCAATTTCCATGTGGTTGTTGTATCGTTTTTTGTACAACAACACTTGCTGTTACCTTCTATTATTATACCATGATTTTAAAACATAAATACCTATTTTTTAATCATGCCATAGTTTATAACAATAATGCCACGGAATTATAGAAAAACGAAAAACCAGAAATAAATAAGTAACAGAAATGTAGTAAAATAAATGTAGTTTTTTAATTATATTGACAATTTACAGTTATAAAAGTAAATTACAGTGATAGAGTGTTGATACAACGCGTATATGCAGATTTTTGAAAAATACCGATATTCCTAAATGATTTACCGAAGGTAATACGAGTATGACACACTTAATAAATAAATAAATTATTATTAATACTTGTGACCAAAACTACAGCAACAGAAATTGCAAATTTAAAAAAACTTATACTGAAATATTTTGGAAATTAATATGTAATTTATTCACTTAAAAAACAAACTCATAATTTGTTTTGAAATAAAAATACTCTATGGAAAACTAAATAGACCAAATTTTTGCTTGGTCAAAACTAAACCAACTTTTTGATTTTTTCTAATAAATAACAACATTTTGCTGCAATCGACAGTATAACCATTATTATTGATTACGTCAGCACACCTACGAGGTGTTGGATCTATAAGGTGCTCAATTTGATCCTTGGGTATACTATTCCTCGCTGAGTGAACCGTTGGGAAGAGGTTAAGTCTGTTTGTGAATCTCTTTTCATTTTGCTATCATTGTTATTTTCATGTGAAAACAACCAAACTAGTCATATATTTTTTCGGCGCTGGGGAACCATTCCGTTTTCCAATACATTCCGATTCATTCATCTCGTAAATAGATCGAACAACATAATAAGAAAGACAACCCAATACCATTGTTGACCCGCCTACATGCTTCCCAGTACCATTGCAATACTGAGGCATCAGCCTTTAATTTTTTTACCTTCTCACGGTAGTCCTAAATTAAACTTTAATTGGCTTTCCAATTCTTTTCAGAAATAAAAGGTCTTTCTTGATGGTTTCCGGGCTTGTTGGTCCACACTCTGTTCTTTGATATCCTACGACAAAATCGAAAAGAGACACATGTTTTTTGAAATATAATCATCTTGAAAATGATCTATAATAATCAAAATAGGTGTATAAAGGTAAAAACAACTAAAATTTCAGAGGTGCTCTGTTTGTACAGTAAAGTTGCTGTAGTTTTGTCCAAGCAAAAATCGAGTCAATTTCATTTCAAATCCAATATTTTTTTATTTTAACTTGAACTTTGCTTAGAAGTTGTTGTTTTTTATGATTTAAGTACTCGATATAAAACTGAAAAAAACCAAGACGATGTGTTTATGTTTAGTTTGGTATTTAAAGTTTCAATATATATATATATATATATATACTCGTTCGTGTTAATTTTTGACTATTTTTGCGGGATATACTAGAAGCAGTACACCGGTAGGCTACACATTCGGATTTGATCCTGTTGAAATGTCCTATATTGTCACATTTACACATAAATATTTCCAAGAGGTTGCTTTGTTTATTATAGTTTAATTATTTTATTAAATTAAATAAATATCGCGAAAAAAATAATAATATGTCAAATTTTTTGGTTGGGTTTCGATTTTACTTACAATAATAATTCTATACAAACCTCTAAAAGATGTTACTCTCGAATACTGTAATGTTGAATTTGAAAATAAACAAGTGGGAAATTACAAAATCTTTTAAATTCCATAAAAAAAAATCTTGAAAAATATTTTGCGAGCACATTTTGGTACTATATTTGGTACAAATTTAATTTGGAGGTAATTTATTTATTTTATTTTGATGTTAGGATCATTGTAGGGATGTAGGTTTAGGGTCAGGATTCAGTTTAACAAATTAAGACTGGTACTAAATTTGGTACATTTTTATTTTAGGTGAACCAATAGAGCTAGAATCATGAAATTTGGAATCAGGATCACTGTTGAGCTCTAAGATTGAAATATGTAGGAAGTTTTAGAAATTTGTACTAATGTGTACTAAATTTGGTAGAATTCAAATTGTGGGTGAAGCGATAGAGTTGAAATCATTAACTTTTGATTTAGGATCACTGTGGAGGTGTAGGATTGGGGTATGTAGGAAGTTTTGGAAATTGTTACTATTGTGTACTAAATTTTGTACAATTTAAATTGTGGGTGAACCGATAGTGTTGGAATCCTGATACCTGGATTTTGGATCACTGTAGGGATGTTGGTTTGGGGTAAGAAGGGGGTTCAAACCAAAGGGGGTACACTTTGAATTGTGGGTCAACCGGTAAAGTTGAAATCCTGAAACTTGGATTTTGGATCACTGTGGGGGTTTAGGATTGGGGTATGTAGGAAGTTTTGGAAATTGGTACAACTAGGATGACTGTGGGAGTGTAGGTTTTGGAAATAAGTATTACTGTGTACTAAATTTGGTACAATTTAAATTGTGGGTAAACCGATAGAGTTAGAATCCTGAAACTTGGATTTAGGATCACTGTGGGGGTGTAGGATGGGGTATATAGGAAGTTTTGGAACTGGTACTACTGTGTACAAAATTTGGTACAATTTGAATTGTGGGTGAACCTATGGAGTTGAAATCATGAAACTTGGGTTTAGAATCACTGTCGGGGTGTAGGATTGGGGTATTTATGAAGTTTTGGAATTTCGTACTACTGTGTACTAAATTTGGTACTATTTAAATTGTGGGTGAACCAATAGAGTTGGAATCCTGAAATTTGAATCTGGAATCATTGTGGGGGTGTAGGATCGGGATATACATGAAGTTTTGTTGAATGGTTGAACAGGGTACTTATGGAAATAATGTGTGCTAAATGGAAAATTTGGATTTGGGTGAACCTTTAGAGCTCGAATCATGAAATTTGGTACTAAATGGTACTCAAATTTAATTTATGGTCGATGTTAATACACGTTTAAATATATATATATATATATATATATATATATATATATATTGAAACTCTAAATACCAAACTAAACATAAACACATCGTCTTGGTTTTTTTCAGTTTTATATCGAGTACTTAAATCATAAAAAATAACAACTTCTAAGCAAAGTTCAAGTTAAAATAAAAAAATGTTGGATTTGAAATGAAATTGACTCGATTTTTGCTTGGACAAAACTACAGCAACTTTACTGTACAAACAGAGCACCTCTGAAATTTTAGTTGTTTTTACCTTTATACGCCTATTTTGATTATTATACATCATTTTCAAGATGATTATATTTCAACAAACATGTGTCTCTTTTCGATTTTGTCGTGGGATATCAAAGAACAGAGTGTCGACCAACAAGCCCGGAAATCATCAAGAAAGACCTTTTATTTCTGAAAAGAATTGGAAAACCAATTAAAGTTTAATTTAGGACTACCGTGAGAAGGTAAAAAAATTAAAGGCTGATGCCTCAGTATTGCAATGGTACTGGGAGGCATGTAGGCGGGTCAACAATGGTATTGGGTTGTCTTTCTTATTATGTTGTTCGATCTATTTACAAGATGAATGAATCGGAATGTATTGGAAAACGGAATGGTTCCCCAGCGCCGAAAAAATATATGACTAGTTTGGTTGTTTTCACATGAAAAGAACAATGATAGCAAAATGAAAAGAGATTCACAAACAGACTTAACCTCTTCCCAACGGTTCACTCAGCGAGGAATAGTATACCCAAGGATCAAATTGAGCACCTTATAGATCCAACACCTCGTAGGTGTGCTGACGTAATCAATAATAATGGTTATACTGTCGATTGCAGCAAAATGTTGTTATTTATTAGAAAAAATCAAAAAGTTGGTTTAGTTTTGACCAGGCAAAAATTTGGTCTATTTAGTCTATTTAGCAATTTCTGTTGCTGTAGTTTTGGTCACCAGTATTAAGAAAAATTTATTTATTTATTAAGTGTGTCATACTCTTATTACCTTCGGTAAA